CAGACTGGACTCAAACTCACAGAAACCCACTTGCCTCTGTCTCTCATGAATTGATTTATTATTTTCCCTAATAAATCTTCTTTCACTTTGTTTTAAAAATAAAATAAAATAGACAGCTTGACTCAAACCAGATGTTGTGACACACTCCTATAATTCCAGCACAACTATTCAGAGATGGAGGCAGGAGGATCAGGAATTCAATGGCATCCTCAACTACTTAGGAATTTGGCCTACACTACATGAAACTGTCTCAAAACAACAACATAAGAAAGTTTTTTCAAGACAGGGTTTCTCTGTGTAGCTTTGGAGCCTATCCTGGCACTCGCTCTGTAGACCAGGCTGGCCTCAAACTCACAGAGATTCGCCTGCCTCTTCCTCTCGAGTGCTGGGATTAAAGGTGTGCACCACTAACACCCAGCTTCTCAACATAAGAAAGTTTTATTGTAACCTTTAATTCCTGCACTCCAGAGACAGAGGCAGGTGGATCTCTGTGAGTTCAAGGCCAGCCTAATCTACAGAACAAGTTTCAGGACAGCTAGGACTACACATGGGACTCTGTCTTTAAAGAAAAAGCAACAACAAAAACAAACAGGACTGGAGAGATGGCTCAGAGGTTAAGAGCACTGGCTATTCTTCCAGAGGTCCTGAATTCAATTCCCAGTAACCACATGGTGGCTCACAACCACCTGTAATGAGATCTGGTGCCCTCTTCTGGCATGCAGGCATACAGCCAGGCAGAAAACTGTATACATAATATAAATAAATAAATCTGTAAAAACAAATAAACAAAAAAATTTTGTTAGGAAGAGCTAGGTGTGTCTGTAACCCCAGCATTTAGGGGGTTAAACAGGATTGAGGCCAGACTGGGTTGCATAATAAAACTTTCAAGAAAAACAAAGCAACATGAAGAACTAGACACGGTAGTCCTTACTCATGATCCTAGCATTTGAGAGGTGGAGGCAGGAGGATCAGAAATTCAGGGTCATCCTGAGCTATATACAGGACCAAGAAAAGCCAAGATTACATGAGACCCTCTCTTGACAAACTAACAGGGCCTCAGTTCAATTTCTAGGTCCCAAATCATGAAAGGACAGAACTGACCCCAAAAAATTGTCCTCTGACTACCACACGTGTTGTGGTGTATATGTGCCCATCACACACACACAATAAAAACCTTAAAGCAAAACAAAAAAAAAAAAACTTTAAAACAATAAGCACTTTAAAACAAACCTGTGTTAGCATCTCTTCCCTCAGCTTTTTCCTATGTATCTTCCGTTTACAGAAATTGTTTGTTTGTTTGTGACAGGGACAGGGTCTTGCTTTGTAGCTCTGGCCAGCCTGGTACTTACTATATAGCCCACACTGGCTTGGAACTTGGCATTGTGGATGCTGGGCACACAGGAATGTGCCACCACACCCAGCTTCTGAGACTGTTACTGCCTTTCACTGGCAGCCGGGGTCTTCTGCATGCCGGCTAAACACCCTACCACTGAATTACATGCTTAGCTGTTCTTTTCCGACACTCCTGCCTTTTGTGTCTCCGTTCAGAGATGACTTGCTGCTTATTGGACCAGGAAACAGAAACTATACATATATGGCCCAGGCTGTGAACAGAGGGGTGACAGTTGTGGGACTTTGGGACCAAAGGCATCCTGGCATGGCAGATTATATTCCTGTTGCTGTAGAACATGCCATTGAGCCAGACACCAAGCTTACCTTTGTTGGAGATGTCATCTGCTTCAGTACCCACCTCGTCAATCAGCATGGTAGGTACACTTCTCCTTGACCAGACAAAAGACGGTTTTGTCAGGTGTGGTAGTATTGCACGCCTTTAATCCCAGCACTAGGAAGGCAGAGGAAGGCGGAGCTCTGTGAGTTCAAGGCCAGCCTGGTCTACAGAGTGAGTGCCAGGATAAGCTCCAAAGCCACACAGAGAAACCCTGTCTCGAAAAACCAAATAATAATAATAATAATAATAATAATAATAATAATAATAATAATAATAATGAAAGCTGGAGTAGAGAGATGGTTCCATGGTGAAGAGCACTTCTTATTCTTGAGAGGATCTGGGTTCAATCCCCGGCACACACATGGCACATGGTGGCTCACAGCCATCTGTATACCCCCTCTTCTGACCCCCACAGGCAACAGGCACACATGAGGTGCACATATATGTATTTAGACAGAACATTGATATACAAAATTTAAAAATCTAAAAATATTTAAAATTTTAATAGTAGATTAAATACAAGAAAGAAAAAAAGCAATGAGACTTTAGTTCTAGGAAACAAATATTTATATGCTTTTCTATGAGGAAACAACAGTCACGGCCTAATCTAATATCCAATATTACTGTGGCAAGTTTGTATGGTGAGTGAGTGTGTGTGTGTGTGTGAATGTGTGTATGAGTAAGTGTGTGTGTGTGTGTGAATGTGTGTATGAGTGTGTGAGTGTGTGATGCATAGGCCATGGCACAGGTGTGAAGGTCAGAGGACAGCTTTATGGAGTTGGTTCTTTCCTTCCTTGCCCTGGATATTCAGGGGATCAAACTCAGATCACTGGGTTTGCACAGCATGCGCTTGTATCATCTGAGCCAAGCCATCTTGCCAGCCCTAAACTATTTTGATCAGCAAAACATTTCTGTTGGAAGAGATTCTATTAAGTTCAATAAATAAGATAGAAAAGTGGTCCTTGGGTTCAAATGCTAGCACTGAAAAATAAAAGTAAATTTCTCCTTGGCAAGGAAATGTGAATTCTTTGGCTTTGCAAACGGTATGTCCCAAAGTGGTAGATATTGCCACAAGTCATCTATGGAGTGCTGTTCTCTAAGCATGCAGCCATCATTTGCATCAGAGCAATGGGACTACTTCTAGTAGACCCGGAGATGAGACCTGTTCATTGCTGATACTGCCTCAGAGAAGGGAGGATGGAGAGGGTCACTCCCACTTAGCTGTATGTGGCTGTGCGCTAATTGCATACAACCTCCTAGTCTTGGGAGGTGCTAGTGCACATACCTGGTGTGGAAGGCTAACTGAAGGAGGACTCCATCTGTGCAGCTACTGCAGAGCTGCCATCCGTGCTGGAGTGAGACTTCCCAGCAGTGTGATGGCTTTGGGGTCACCCATACTCCTGTAAGTAACTCTTACCCATGCGCTATAAGTAAGTCCAATAAACGTATTCGTTTCCCAAGTTGGACGTTGCTTTTGTTTGTTGGTCTTCCCAAGGAAGAGTTCCTGCAGCCATGCCCATATGCCTGGCCGGGTGGTGTAGGGCTTTGGCTGTGATGTCTTTTCTGGGAACTACGGACATATGCTGAGTTAAGTGGCAACACTGGACCTGATTCTAACATATACCACATGCTTTATCCTTGTTACAAAGGTAGTTCTAATCCGCCAAGGGCAAGTTACTGCCTGGTAGCTGACTTGCAATGACCAATGTATATACCAAGGCCTGTGAGCTAAGCTTGCTTCCAAGTCAGTAATGAAAGTTATAGTTCCACAATTGTAAATCTGTAGGATGAAGAAAACTTTATTTTTAAACATTTATGAGTGTGACTGTCAGCACACATGTCATGATATGCATATGAAGGCCAGAGGAAAACTTATGGGAGTCAGTTTTCTCTTCTCTCCCACCATGTGGCTCCTGGAAATTAGCTCAGGCCATCTGGCTTCATAGCCAAGTGCCTTTGCCTGCTGAGCAGCTTGCTGGCCACAGAAGCAAGGCTCTTCAGCTGGGCTTGTGCCAGGACTGGTTTTGCAATCTGGAATTGTGTGAAACAACCAAATGCATACTAGCAAGGATGAGGAAGCAGAAGAGCTTCTGATCAAGATCAGAAATCCAGGGGATGTAGGTGAAACAGATGTCCAGAAAAGCTACCTACATTCTTGAAAAAGAGTGGTCTTGAGCGCCTACTGACTGAGACTTTGAATGAAGTAATTTATTAATTTATATTGAAAATTGCAGACAGGTGCTTTCTCTTTTCTTTTCTTAGGTGAGCCTGGAATGTGGATGATTTCTACCAACAATGTTATACAAACAGACACTGTCACTGGAGTAGGAGTGGCTAGGAGCCCAGGAACTGCAACAATTTTTCATGACATCCCTGGAGTTGTGAAGACGTTTCGAGAGGTACAGCTAACTGGCCACAGCTGGACAAAGTAGAGTGACTGTGCATTTTTTTAATTTAATTATTTATTATGTATACAGCATTCTACCTATCTGCATGCCAGAAGAGGGCACCAGATCTCATTACAGATGGTTGTGAGCCACCATGTGGTTGCTGGGAATTGAACTCAGGACCTCTGGAAGAACTGCCAGTGCTCTCAACCACTGAGCCATCCACATTTCTTTTTTCTTTTCTTTTCTTTTTTTTTTTTTTTTTTTTTTTTTTTTGGTTTTTTAAGACAGGGTTTCTTGCCAGGCGTTGGTGGCGCACGCCTTTAATCCCAGCACTCGGGAGGCAGAGGCAGGCAGATCTCTGAGTTTGAGGACAGCCTGATCTACACAGGACAGCCAGAGGTACACAGAGAAACCCTGTATCAAAAAATCAAAATAAATAAATAAGCAAGTCCAATAAAAAAAAAAAAACAAAATAGCTTTTTTGTTTTGTTTTGTTTGGAGGTGCTTGAGGCTGAAGCTAGGCCTTTGCATGCTGGCAAGTGCTCTGTCACTGAAATGTTCCCCAGCACACTAACTTTTTTGGGGTCTGTTAGCAAGTGCACTTCCCTCTTAGGTGTTTCTGCATGTATAACCTAGAAATGTTAGCTGGGCGGTGGTGGCGCACATCTTTAAACCCAGCACTCGGGAGGCGGAGGCAGGTGGATCTCTGTGAGTTCGAGACCAGCCTGGTCTCTAACTGCTAGTTCCAGGACAGCCTCCAAAGACTGTGATTAAAATCGTGAGCCACCACACCTGGCTTCAAAAAGGCAATTTTGATGAAAAGTAGTTAGAACTCTTACAGAAGAATGACTAATCTGACTTGTGTCTGAAGAGACCACTATGTGCTCCCTGCCGCAGTTCATATACTAAAACTGGAACAATATAGAAAGTATTGGCATGACCCCTGCATGAGGATGACACACAAATTCATGACTCATTCCATGTTTTTATGGTTAAATTTCTGTTTCTACTCCCATCCTGAGAGACCTAGACAACATAGGGAGGGCCTGGCTGCCTCTACCTGTCCTGAATCAGGTGCCACCACTATAAGGAAATGGCTTCAGAAATTCACTGGTTCCTTCAAACCAAAAGAAAAAAAGACAGAGAGAGACTACTATGAGGACAGGGAGATGGCTCAGCAGGTAACCCATAACTGACATATGAATAGCCAGATGTGGTGATACTCATCTGTAGTCCCAGCACTCCTATGGTGAGACAGGAACCTACCAGATGCTCTCTTAATAGCAGAAATGAGAGATCCTGCCTCAAAACAATGTGAAAGGAGTGAGCCACCTCTGGGAAAGTTGCCCTCTACCTCCACATGGCATGGCATGCAGGTGCCCATACTCACATAAAAACTAAATGGATCATTTTGAGCATGGTGCTATATGCCTGTGATCCCAGCATGCAGGAGGTTGAGGCAGGATTGCTGAAACTGGAGTTCAAGGACAACCTCGGCTACACAGTGAGGTTCAGGCCAGCCTGGGCTACAGTGGGAGACTTTATCTCAAAATAAGAATGCTTCTCCTGGGCTGGGGATATAGCTCAGTTGATAGAATGCTTTACTAACATGAATTCCTGGGTTCAATTCCCACCGCATAAACCAGGTTGTGTCTTTAATCCCAAATCCTGGGGATATGGAAGTGGAGGCTGGAAGATCAGAAATTCAAAGTCATCTTAGGCTATAAAGGAGATTCAGACCAGCTGGGGATACATGAGAGAGATCCTGTCTCAAAATTTTAAAAAAAAATCATTTCAAAAGTACGCAAATTTGTAGGTAGAAGTTTCTTTCCCTCAAGCTGTTCCCAAGTAACCATTCAGAGACTTAATATTAATTATATATGCTCAGTCAATAGCTCAGGCTTCTTACTAGCTAACTCTTACATTTAAATTAACCCATGTTTCTTATCTATGCTCTGCCACATGGCTTGGTACCTTTTGTCAGTACAGCATTCCCATCTTGCTTCTCTCTGGCTCTGCTCCAGACTCCTCTGCCTTCTCCCTCCCAGCATTCTCATTTTTTCTCTCCTGTCTAAACTTATCCTGTTCAGCTATTGGCTTCTTTATTAAACTAATCACAATGACATATATTCATATAGCATAAAGGAATATTCACATTATCCACTTTTGTCTAATTAATAACTGTTTTCTTTTTTATTTTGGTCTTTCGAGACAGAGTTTCTCTGTGTAGCTTTGGAGCCTATCCTGGCTCTGGCTCTGGCAACCAGGATGGCCTCGAACTCACAGAGATCTGCTTGCCTCTGCCTCCCAAGTGCTGGGATTAAAGGCAAGCGCCACCAATGCCCTTCTTAATAACTGTTTTCTTGCATATAATTTTACTATGTTAGCCGGGTGGTGGTGGCAGACACCTTTAATCCCAGCACTTGGGAGGCAGAGGCAGGTGGATCTCTGTGAGTTTGAGACCAGCCTGGTCTACAGAGCTAGTTCCAGGACAGCCTCCAAAGCCACAGAGAAACCTTGTCTCAACCACCCCCCCCAAAAAAGAGCTAGTTAGTAATAAGCCTGAGCTATTGGCCAAACAGTTAAGTCTCTATGTCAGTTATTTGGGAACTGGTGGGTGAGAAAGAAAAGTTTTCCTACACAGATTTTTTATTTGTTATTGTTGTTTCTCAAATAATCAGAATGACAGCCTGTCCTATGCAATAGATACTTCTGGTTGAAATAAATTATAAAGGGTAAAGATGGAGGGAACTAGGTTTCCCTTTGATTTCCCTTTGGTTTCCTTACAGGTGGTAGTCAATGCATCATCAAGATTAACACTCAGCTATGACCTCAAGACTTACCTCACCAATATCCCCAATGCAACTGTGTTCAAACTCTTCATCAGCACCGGCAGAAATGATGTCAACCTCAAAGGTAAGGAACTTCTTCAGTTCTTCTATGATCATCTTCCTTTTCTTCCCTCAATTATTTTACTCCTTTGGACTAATATGTTTCCTTTTATTGGCCTGCATAATAGCACATACCTGTATTGCTAGTATGAGAAAAACTAAGACACAAGCATTGCAGCATGTTCAAGGACACCCTGGGCTACATAGCAAGATCTTATCTCAGAAAACAAAAATAAAAAAATTCATTTTACATCATAATTGACTCCAATTTTTTTGGTTTTTCGAGACAGGGTTTCTCTGTGTAGCTTTGGAGCCTATCCTGGCACTCCCTCTGGCACTCCGCCTGCCTCTGTCTCCCCGAGTGCTGGGATTAAAGGCGAGCACCACCAACACCCGGCTAATTGACTCCAATTTTTATAAAGACTTATTATTTTTAATTACAAATAGGTATATGGATATGTGCACACGCATGTAGGTGCCCTTGGTAGCCAGACACCTAAGATGGCTGCTAGGATCTGAACTTGGTCCTCTAGAAAAGCAATAGTTTATGTTGAGTCATCTCTCTAGCCCAGTGGTTCTCAATCTGGGGGTCAAACAACCCTTCCACAGGAGTTACCTAAGACCACCAGAAAATGCAGATGTTTTACAATACTATTCATAACAGCAGAATTACAGTTATGAAATAGCAACAAAAACAACTTTATGGTTGGGGTCACCACTACGTGAGGAACTGTATTAAAGGGTCGAGGCATTAGGAAGATTGAGAACCACACTGCTCTAGTCCTTGACTCCATCTTGACACATAAACTGAAATCAATGAGATTTCAAAAATTATGACTGAATTAAAGTTTGGATTTTTATACCTGGGCGGTAGTGGTACATGCACTCAAGAGGCAGAGGCAGGCAGATCTCTGAGTTCAAGGCCAGCCTGGTCTGTAGAGTGAGTTCCAGGACAGCCAGGGCTCTTTTACAGAGAAACCCTGTCTCAGAAAAAAAAAAAAAAATTTTGGATTTTTTTCTTTTGTTGTGGTGCTGGAGATCAAAGCCCAGGTCCTGTGTGCTCTATCATACTGTGGAGGCACACCCCTAGCCTTGATTAATGGGCTTTAGTTTCTTTATTTTTGCTTGTTTTTGAGAGTCTAACTGTGTAACCCAGGCTGACAAGTGGTTTTAAACTAGTCTGGCCTTGAACTTCGTCTTCTGTCTCCAGAATGTTGAGATTAAAGACACATTAGGTTTCTTTAAGATTTTTATTCGTGTGTGTGTGTGTGTGTGTGTGTGTGTGTGTGTGTGTGTGGGGGGTGGCTGCCTTGTGTTCAGGTTCCCTCAAAGGCCATACAAGGATGTCAGATACCCAAGAGCTTGAGTTACAAATGGTTGTGAGCTGCCCAGGCTGGGAACTAGGTCCTCAGTCAAGTCCTCCATAGCTAGTCTTTCTCTGTCCTGCCAGCCAGCTCCCAAATCATGACGTCCAGACTTTTAGTAACTATCCAAGTTTGGCTGATACCTCAGGCTTGTTTTCAGCTAGCTTCTTTAACTTAAATTAACCCATTTCTATCAATTTACATGTTCATGGCTCATGGCTCGTTACACCTCATCTCCTGAGTGCCTGCTTCCTCTGAGTCTCTGCCCTTCTTTTCTCTGCATTCTCTCTGCCCCAGAAATCAGGCCTAGCTATTGGCCGTTCAGCTTTTTATTAAATCAATCCAAGTGACACATCTTCGCAGCACACAAAAAAAATTACAAACGCATGGCAGTAACAGTTAACTTTTCTCTTGTTAGGATCCTGTACCTCAAGTCAGGCTTCTGCTGTGAAAACAGTTCTTCTTCCTGAGACACTCCTGCTGTGCCACGTGCAGTTCAGCAATACCTTACTAGACGTCCCAGCCAGCAAAGTCTTCCTCATCCGGTCAGAGTTCAGCATGGAGAGAGGTATGAGCCAGCAGCTCAAGAGCTTCCTTTAGCCCCGCTACTGCAACTGTCACCCTCCTGCTGAACTTTGTGTTTTCTCTACCTCCGGAGCCTTTCTCAACCTCTTCAAAGAGGGTTGTGTTTTTTGTTTGGGGTACTATGTATCCCTGGCTGGCCTCAAACAAGAATGGCCTTGAATTGATGCCTCCACCTCCAGAGACTAGGATCGAAAGCTGCACCATGTCCAGTTTATGCACAGCTGGGGATCATCTCGGAGCTTTGTGCATGCTAGGCACACTCGGGACCAACTGAGCGGTATCCCTTATCAACAAATTTCTAATACATGCCACCGAGAACCAGCTGTTTTCCTATAATTTACCTTTTTCTTCCCACTCCTGTTCTATGAAAGGTTAGATTATTTCTCAGTTTTTTGTTTTGTTTTTTGTTGTTGTTGTTGTTGTTTTGTTTTGTTTGAGACAGGGTCTCACTATGTTAGCCCTGGATGTCCAGGAAATCACTGTGTAGACCAGGCTGGCCTCAAACTCAAAAGATCCACCTGCCTCTCTACCTGAGTACTTGATTGAGAGCATATACTGTCAGGCCCAGGATTATTCTATCTCCAACACATAGCACAGTGTTTGAATATTCCAAACAAATGTCATTAACAAGAAATAATTTAACATTCAGATGGCTTGATATAAAAGAACTAACCTAAAAGGAGAGGATTCTGCTAAGCCTCGTGGCATAAACCTGTAATCCCAATACTTGGAAGGCTGAGGCAGGAGGATCAAAGTCAAGACCCGCCTGGTCTACAAAATGAATTCAAGTTAATCTGGGAAATCTAGTGTGACTGCGTTCAAAATCAAAAGTAAAAAGAAAGCTAGGGATGCTCAGTGGTAGAGTAATCACCTGGCATATGGTAGGCCCTAGTTCAAATATTGCAAACAAAACTGGGGTGAGGGAGGAGGGAGAGAGGGGGAGGAGAGAGGGAGAGAGGGAGAGAGAGAGAGAGAGAGAGAGAGAGAGAGGGTATAAGCAGGACAGTGCTACACCATTTGAGCTCTTGACACAAGCTGAGAAGCTTGAATGGTGTGGGTAATGAACAGGCACTTAAGGTTCAGTCAGAACACTGTTGGACACTGAATGGCCCTTTTGAAAGTTCCAGAACAAGATGCAGATGGAATGG